ATCTGTCGGTGGGGTTTAACCTTAGACACAATGAGAAAAGGCTAATTTTAATGAGCATGGTCCTACTTCGGTAGAGACACTCATGTAGATAATAATAATGCATTCTTATATTTTACTGCGAGTCAAAAACCTGGTAAACACTAACCTCTCACAAATGTTGAATAAATTTCCTCCTTACAGAAGGCGGGAAGGGAAATAATTGTTTTATAGCAATTTCAATATCACACTGTTTTACTATTGCTTTGAAGAGCGCTGACTAAAGGACCCGGGGTACTTTACAAATCCTGTAATACGGGGGGGGTACTTTACTCGGGGGGTACTATGGACAGAGTATTATGTATACCCGGGGTACAAAATTATATTTCTCAAATTTTGCTCATACTTATTGGTTTGCTAACAACAGTTCCAGCTGCACAATCAATCTATAACACACTGACACTCATCTATTCTATTCTTGATCACTCTATGACACTCATCTATTGACTTGGGGGATACGTAGGAAGTGTATGCGAATTGTCATTGGTTATTATAAGCCACGTGATATGTAATCATCGAGTTTTCTGTACCTGGGTCTTTTACAAATCCATTGCCTTATATGGTGGGGGGTACTTTACACGGGGGTACTTTAGTCAGCGCTCTACGGTACATACAGCATATCCTCCTCTTCCAATCATATCACGATCTGTTAGGTCTTTATCTTCATAATAGCGGATATACTGCTCTTCAACCATTGTTCGTGGTCATTGGTACTCATGATTTCAGCATTAAGAAAGTTTACCTTAGCTTTTTTGTGCGTGAATGTTAACTAGTACTACAGTACTAGTCGTGCTACACATCACGTGCCATTGGTTCGCATGTCTATTATTCACAACATATACAACATGTTACAATAGACTAACTATCGCGAGGAACTTTTATTCAGTTACAATAGACTAACAAACATGGCCTCTGATAAAGAGTGGTTAACGAATAATATCGAAAATGGAAGCATTCGGTTTTACTCTTTCGATGATTTTATTGACCAGGTGTGCATCGGTGGTGGAGGATATGGAGTAGTTTTCAAAGCGAAAGCGAAGACACTTGATAGAATGGTGGCATACAAGCTTCTGCATTCACATGATGAAGATGAGATGATCGAAAACTTTGTCAAAGAGGTTGGTGTTTACAGTGATTATTTTATATTTGGATGTTACCGCTTACTTAAATTAGACAACTATACTTTTAGCTTAAGATTCATCGTAAGGCCGATGACCACCTTAACATCATTCGATTTCTCGGAGTGAGCAAGGGTAAGCATTGAGTGGCTGAGGCTACGGGATAACTATGAATATGATATTAACAAACCATTCTGTTATTTTAATCAAAAGATCCGCTAAGCAAATATGTCATGGTCTTTGAATACGCTGATAGCGGTACATTACGACATTATTTATCAGCATCTGTTGACCTGGACTGGCTTACGAGATGCAAGCTTGGCATCAATATCACTAGCGGACTACGATATCTTCATAAACTTGATATTTTACATAAAGATCTGGTAACTATTGATATAATTTTTAATATTATATCTATATTTAACCTATTCAACTCCAATTTACAATTTTGTTATTAGTCTTCACATAATATTTTGATCCATGCCGGTGTGGCGAAGATAACAGACTTTGGCTTGTCAGACAAGATCTTGCAACAAAAAAGCCCATTCAAACATTCGAGGAACTCTTCTATATCTTGACCCTAGATGCTTATATGATGGTTCTACTAAGCATGATGAAAAGTCAGATATATTTAGTTTTGGGGTGGTATTATGGGAAATCTCTGGCGGAAAGAGACCATGTGATGGACTCCAAAATTATAACGATATTGCAATTTATAGATTAAATGGCGGTCGAGATGCTCCAGTTTCAGGAACCCCTGAAGAATATATCACATTATATTCAGAATGTTGGGATGGTATGCCTGAGAAACGACCATCTTGTGAGCAGATTTTTGATAGATTAGGCATGATATCTCAACTTGTAATGCCTTCAAACCATCCATTTTCTGATACATTGTCAAGTAAATACCAGGAAGAATTATTAAAAGGAAAAAGTCGGGAACAGATGGCTGATTCAATTAAAAGCTGGTTAATGCCTAATGGACAGTATCAACATTATAATTATCCTCCTGTTAAGAGACTCAAAGATCATATTGATTGCAGTCAATGTTTTTGGTTAATTGGGTTTTTTTATGAATATGAAATATCAGTTGCCAAGAACCTTAATACAGCAGTCTATTGGTATCAACTATCAATGGAAAAAAATAATGCTGCTGCACAAGATATTCTTGGTTGTTGCTATGAGAATGGAGTTGGAATGAAAAAAGATGCTGAAAAATCTGTTGAATTATATCAAAAAGCTGCTGAACAAGGATATGCTGCTGCACAGTCTAATCTTGGTCTTTGCTATAGAAATGGAATTGGGGTAGAAAAAGATAATAAGAAAGCAGTTGAATTATATCAAAAAGCAGCTGAACAAGGACATGCTATTGCACAAAATAATCTAGGCTGTTGTTATGAAAATGGAGTTGGAGTAGAAGAAGATGCTGAAAAGGCAGTTGCATTGTATCAAAAAGCTGCTGAACAAGGTTATGCTATTGCACAGTATAATCTTGCTCATTGCTATCAATATGAAATTGGAGTAGAAAAAGATGCTGAAAAGGCAGTTGAATTGTATCAAAAAGCAGCTAAACAAGGGAATTCTGCTGCACAGAATAATCTTGGTCATTGTTATGAAAATGGAATTGGGCTAGAAAAAGGTTCTGAAAAGGCAGTTGAATTATATCAAAAAGCAGCTGAACAAGGTTATGATATTGCACAGTATAATCTTGCTCATTGCTATTATAATGGAGTTGGAGTAGAAGAAGATGTTGAAAAAGCAGTTGACTTATACCAAAAAGCAGCTAAACAAGGGAATGCTGCTGCACAGAATAATCTTGGTTATTGCTATTATAATGGAATTGGAGTAAAAAAGGATGTTGAGCAGGCAGTTGAAGTATATCAAAAAGCTGCTAAACAAGGACATGCTACTGCACAGCATAATATTGGTTGCTGTTATCAATATGGAATTGGAGTAGAAGAAGATGCTGAAAAGGCAGTTGCATTATATCAAAAAGCAGCAGAGCAAGGATATGCTGGTGCACAGAATAATTTTGGTTATTGTTATGAAAATGGGATTGGGATAGAAAAAGATAATAAGAAAGCAGTTGAATTATATCAAAAAGCAGCTGAACAAGGACATGCTATTGCACAGTATAATCTTGGTTATTGCTATGAAAATGGAATTGGGATAAAAAAAGATGTTGAAAAAGCAGTTGAATTATATCAAAAAGCAGCTGAACAAGGACATGTTGATGCACAGCTTACCTTGAGTATCATAATATGAAAATGTATTATTGTTAGAGGAGGAGAAATGGTTGAACATTGGTCTAGTAAATGTAGCTATATTATACTGTATTAGTATTAGTATCTGCGCTTAAACATTACTGTGGTCACTATTATGTGTATTTGTTCTGTGGCTACTTTTATTTGAGGTGTTGTAAACTTGCTGGCAATTTCTATAGATGTCCAATTGTCTGGGAGAGCATTATGTTCACAACTCGGCTCTTGTTAATGTGCCTGCTTCAATTAAAAACATTGACTATGTATATACTTGTATTTTCTATCACTGGAATATACACTAGCTAGACATACAAAAATGGTAAATTTTAAAATACGACATAAAGCTACTAAGTTTGTAAACGATTTACAACGTGTTTGTTATACAGTGAAAGTATACACGTATAATACTATAATAATAATGAACTGTTCGGGATCCCCAACCTATTACTATAGGCCTTCGCTTTAATCCCAGTGAAAGGAAATAGCATATTAATATAACTCGAGGCCGGCACAGTAATCTAGTAGTGTCTACAAATATATAGACTGTAAGTAGTAAAATCTTTCTTTCTTTTGTAAAAATATTATCGTCAATCGAGAAATGCAACGCCACACTTTTGGCCACTATTTACAGAAACTTGAAAAAGTTAAATACAAGACAGAACATTGGCAAATAAGTTATTGGAAAAGGACATAGGCTAGGTTAGATTGTGAAGATAGCCTTCCCCAAATGCTTACTATTACTGAGATCTGGTTCATTTCATAATAAGTAATAATCAATTAACATGTTTATCCGATATTATTATACACGTAATGCTGGAATTTTACATTTTAAAAGACCACTTGACGACTTCTGATAGGAAAAGTAGAAAATAAATACAATCTACTTAATCAACTCTGCTTGAATGAAATTAACTACACGTTACTGACCCACTTATATCGCAAAATGAAATTTGATAAATGGTTTATTGACGTTTTATTTTATAAAACACTGTCAGTTTCTTTTCGCATGCGAGGGACCTATTGAAACTAACTGTCAATTTACTTTGACGTCGACGGCCTTACTGCTGTTGTTTACTATATGGTCGGAACTACTGTAAACAATATAAACAGCTGAATATATTTCGAAAAGCACAATCACATAGCTTCAAATGATACCCAAACTCTCGATTTCAAAAGTAATTACCTTCAATACAATCCCTCATAAACTGCAATTTTTTGTGGATACGTGTGTATTAGTAATAGGGCGCGAGCGCAATATTAAATGTAAACATTCCCACAAGGAAAAACTACGCCCGACACAATGTCACTGATAACCATCAGGAGCCCCTGAATACCGCTACAACAGAAACTAACTGCTTTGCTTTTAATAATTTTCTCAAAAAGGCTAAGGCGAAGTGAACATCCCGTCCTACATCTGTTTCTGACTCGTAATGTCTGCAATACATAACAATAATCTTGTTTGAGTAAATATACAATATTGATGATGACTAACTGGACGATCAACTCATGATGAATAGAAAGTCTTGTTAAAGCAGTTGTGTGAATAAGTGTGCAAGTGAATTTTTGGGAGCGTTAGTTGTGAGAACTAGTCAGGAATGGTATTTGTGAAACTTGTTGCATTAATGTTCGCGTGTTGTAGGTTTAATCTATTCGATAAACTGAAGGGTATGGTTTCCAGAGAAACCAGAGTTGACTGGGATGTGTGAACAGGCTGCATCCATTCGATAGACTGAAACTCTTTATTACCGGGAGTCCTAACTCTAAGCTTTGCTTTAACTGATGCAATAGCAGTCGAATAACGTGTTTTATCAGTGTCATTTCGAGCCGTCCTAAATGCGAGCCGATAATACTCGATAGCTTCCCGCAAGTCAACGTCTGTACCAATTCCTCTCTCATAACAATTACCCAGATTTTCATATGCGGTATCAATCTCAAAAACAGATGCCAACCTCAACAAACTGATGGCTCTCCGTTCGTCTGACGCAACACCTTGACCATATAGAAGACGCACGCCAAATTCGCACATCGCTATAGGGTTGCCCAAATCAACTGCTTTCACAAGACAATTTATTGCTTGGGCTTCACTTTTCGCTACCCCTTTTCTGCGAGAATACCAACTCGAGAGCTTGCATAGAGCAGTCGAATCACCCTGATCTGCTGTTTGCTTTAATAGCATGAACGCCTGCTCGCCGTCTCCTTCGGACGCATACATATCGACCAGGTTGTATATTGCCGGTGTAAATCCTTGAGCGGCTGACCCCCTATAAAACCTTTCGGCCATGTCGGTCTCTTTTATAGCACCATAACCTGTCTGGTAACAACGGCCAAGTGAATATAATCCTAAATAATTATATGTGTTGCCTGATTCCTTGTAATAATCATACGCATCTATTTCATCTTCATCGGTTCCTACGCCGTACTGATAGATGAAACCAAGTAGCCATCGAATACTGGCATCCTGCTCGTCCGAGTCCTTTTTAGCAGAATTTACCGTGTACTTATCTATTAGCTTTACTATTTCATTTATCTCGTGTTTGTTCGTTTTCATCCATATTAGAAGAGACGCAGAAATGTGGTCAACATGTTTGCCGAGTATCAATTCATTTCTTAAGAATGTTATCACTTGTTGAGGTAGTGTTTGGTGCGCTGCAGGTTTTGTCCACTTGATAAATTGGACCTGCCTTTTTTCGGAAATCGTTTCCCGAGACATCAGAGTTGACTGTGACTCTTTTACTTGATTCAATAATTCTCTCAAACGATCACACACTACGTCACAGGTTGGTCTTATGGTTGGGTCATCATTCCAACATTCTGAATAAAGCTGCAAATACTCTTTTGGTGTATTGGGGGCAGGAGGTTCACGATCATTCAGAGCTCTCCAACTCACGACTTGTATAAATGTTTGGCCTTTGTACGGTGGTTTTCCTGTAGAAATTTCCCATAAAACGACCCCAAGACTAAATATATCAGACTTTTTATCGCGAATATGGTCAGGTTTTCTAATGACCATAGGATCCATATACGCGGGATCTCCTCCTATATTAGAAGTGGCGGTCTGTTCTTCAATGAGTTCAGCGAGACCAAAATCGGTAATCTTGGCAACTCCGTTTTGGATAAGGATGTTCCGCGATGACTATAAGCAATAATTAATAATCAATATAACGACAACATGTGTATGATGGCAAAGTAATGGGGGCTTAGCAAGATGTCTAAGTTATAATCTAGAATTAACACAACAGTAACGGTCATCATACCAAATCTTTGTGTAAAATATCTCGCTCATGAAGGTGGTGCAGGCCTTTAGCAACTTCTAATCCGAGTTTATATTTATCAGCCCAGCGTAGGTTCACGGAATGCGTACATAGATGGTCACGCAGGGTGCATTCGGCATACTCAAAGACCATCGAATATATTCCGTTTTCGCCTAAATTCATAGTTTAAGTATTGATTTATAGCAGGGTTCATTGCTTTTATTGTCGTATATTTACCCTCACCCAGTCCAAGAAACCGAATAATGTTAGGATGATCGTGCACTTGTCGGTGAGTTTTAACCTTGAAGGAAATTTGACACAATGAGAAAAGACCATGAACTTTAATGAGCATGTATAATTTACTGTGTAGTCAAAAACACGGTTGCAAGTATGTTGGTAAACACTAACCTCTCTCACAAATATTGAATAAATTTCCTCTCCCCCTACAGAAGATGGCAAGGGAAGTAATTGCTTTATAGCAACATCTATATCACTTTGTTTTATTCCTGCTTTGTAGACTAAAGCATATCCTCCTCTCCCAATCAGAACACGATCTGTTAGGTCTTTGTCTTTATAATAGTAGATATACTGCTCGGCGATGCTTTTCTCTAACCATATTCTGTTTTGTTCATGGACATTAGTACTCATGATTCAGCGAACGGGTTCGCATTAAGAAAGTCGGCGGACTTTCGCGTTGGTTTACCTTAATATTGACTTGATAGTTAAATTGTTTAACGTCACCGCCACAAATCATTTGCTTTCATGGTACTACAAAGGGAGAGACTTACTATTCTTTTTCCACAATTGCGTGAGAGGAAAACATTCGTTCTCAATGTCACATCATTGACGAGTATAACCTATTTTGGATTCCCTATCCTCTTGTTATTATTATCGTTTACAGAAAATGAATATAGTTTACTTGGGCAGTAAACATTCTTTGCAACGATATTGTTAAAATTGAATAAATTAAAATACCGTTATTCCAAAGATTGAAGCCGATGAATATTATAACACGCGTTCCCTATTGCAGTCTCTAAACATCGTTATACATGCAGAATTTCGAAATGTAAGCAAGTTGGTTTACGCTTAATAATAATAATAATAATAAACAACGAGCTTGTAACCGTGTAGTGTATCCGTCAATAAATTGAACGTATTAATATGCGTAATTTACAGAGCATAATAATAATAATAACTATGATGAAAATAAATTATTAAACACTAACCATTCTTCATGGTTTGATTGTTAACAGTAGATAGTCTATAGAAAGTATGAATTTCTCATTAAATGTTCGCTAGTTCACTATGTTTTGTTTTTGGATGTGGTTTAACATATTCACAAATCTCACGTTTATTATCGAGGCTCAGTTAAGGTCTTGTTTTAAATAAACTTCTACATGATTTGGTTGATGAGAGAATTAATGTGTGATTATTTTTAAAGCATGTAATTATACATCAATCTTTCGTCTGAAAAGGAGGAATTTTTCATGTGACTGTAGGTATATAGATAATAACATTAGTCACGGGATGCGACCTTCTAAACACAAGTTTTGGTGTTTCTAAAACCACCACCATTCCTAATGAAAAAACAGTGGAGAGAACTATCCATCCTGAAACAAAATTTTCTCATTCAAATCCGCCAACTTTCCACGAACCACCCCAAAAATCATTTCCTTACAAAACCCAACTGGTCAGTAAAATTTCTTTTACCGTCCACCACAGCATCAAATGATATTATAATCGACGACAAAGCTTTATCACATCTGCTGCGGCTTTCAAGCCTCCGAATGCCATCCGATGATGCAGCTAAGAAAAGATTGGTATCGGATATCAATACATTATGTAATTTTGTAAAGCACATTCAAGAAGTAGATGTTGAAAACGTCGAGCCATTAAGAAGCATATGGCCGCGGAACACTAGTTTGATGACGAGGGAGGATATTGAAAAGGAAGACATTTCCGGGGAGGAATTACTTAAATGTGCAGAAAAGACGCACGGAAAGTTTTATGTGGTTGACAACCCAAAGACTTCTTGATAGGGAATTGGTAAACGTTACAGTGAGATCAATGACCATCATTTCTCTAATGCTGGCTGACATTATATAACAAGATACGCGACTAGGAAGACAGAAGCTAGTTTGGATCAAACAGTCAATATCAGATTTAATACATGGTATTCTTGTGTTTGGTATTCGACATCATTCTATATACATTCCGTAAACTCGTGGCTTTAATACGTGAATGACCGATTCATCGTAAGCTCATGTACTACAAACAAATTACGAAAATATTAAAATTCAAGTATTCGATGCTTTAATATTTGATCCATCAAATTTCTGACACAACATACCTCATCTTCATCTTCTTCGTCGCTATCATGTTGCCTCCTAGCAACCATTCTCGCCAACGATTTGTTTAGTCTCAACTCTGCTTCGACCACGATTTTGTCACACCCTAAAGAGCAAGATAATTTTAATATACAAACAGTTGAGATTTCCCCCACCATTCTCATTGCATAGTCTCGATTCTTACCGGGGATAGGACATACAACACTTCCATTATGAGTCCTTAACATTTGTAGTATAGCATCCTTTGAATAACTGTGTTTGCAACTGGTGCTCGATACCGGTTGAGAATACAAAGTCTGGGTGATTGGACAACGAAGAGAAATCTTCTCTCCTCCAATCATTATATCGTCATCCTGTTGATTAACTGATGGCATTGGAACATCTGGGTTCCTTATTTCCTGCGTAAGAAAAATAAAACATTTGTCTGATGAGAAACTATATCCTGGAGAATTGATAATGAGGATAGACAAACGATGACAGTAATCAATGGTGACAACAATGCTAAGAATTATAAAATCCGCTTTGCAGTCTAGTTTAAGAATATATAGGTTATCATAATTAAGAACAGCCTTTTGATGATTACCCATATTTTTTCTTGGAATGTAACATATTCCTCATTAGCTGCATACTTTTGATCGCCGGGTATCGCTTCATATCGTTTTCTCGCATGATCCGTCTCCATCTCATACAAATCATATATATTTCCCTGGGAAATGTTAAAATACAACAAAATTCGATTAAAAGAATCCAAACGGGGGATGTAATATAAATTTATTTAAATACGCTTTGCCATCCAAGCATATAACAATGAATACAGATAAGCTTACAATATTCTCGCTTGACTGGAGTCTGGATCTGATTTTCTCAATAGCGTCCTTCTCAATCTTGAAAGCTGCTTCAAGTTCTATGATATCTTTTAAAACCCCTTCCATTTCCTCAACCTACAAATAGAGTAAGCTTTATCACGTAATTGAATTTCTTACCATGCTCCTTGCATTCTCTTGCTTTAATTCAAATAGCACACATTCCACCAATGTCTACCTCGTCATTCAACTTTGCTTCTGCCAAGTCACTTCCTACTTCGATCGCGTATTGGTATCCAATCCGCACATATTCAAAAGGCTTTGCAAATTCATTCAGTATGGGTATTAATTTAGTAAAGTCGTGCGAGACAGACAGTCCGGAAATGAGGTCTGCATCCTGTTCTGTTTCGGATGCATTCTCAGAATGTGTGTCGTGAGAGGAAGACGCAATACTCGTTCGAGCACTGCGCTGGCGGCGAGTCATTATTATTATTATAGAGGTAAAAGACAATAAGATAAAGAACACGCGTTTTGGTACGAATAGAATTTTATTAGAGTACTGCGGGTGATACAAGAATTTTTCCCACGACTATAATTAAATATTGGGCAATATGTAATCTACAACTAGTTCAACAGTCCTTTCGATAGCGTCACGCACCCATTGGTTATCTAGAACGAGATAAATGTCAGCATAATGCATAGAGCGCCGAATTATTTAACGTTTCCTTGTCAACCCACCTTCATTTGTTCTCGGACCAATGGCAGTATTGTCCAATAAATTAATATTTTTAAATTCGGGATGTGTCCTCATGAATTCAGCTCGAGCTTTAGTCGCAGCCTCTCTGACCACTTTTTCCTCGTCTTCCGGTTTATATAAATCGCATTTATTACATTTCTTACACTTTTGTCCCGGTACCGGTCGGAAATGATCGCAGACTAATTAATAGGAAATGGGTTAACACGTTAATAAGATGGATTTCCTCAAAAAAGTTTTTTGGTTGATCATTAAAATTTGACTTACAATGTGCATACGATTCTTGTCGGAGGTCTTTTCTGCACAGGTAACACATTACATATCCTGATTGTAAAGGCAAAGACATCAATAAACAAAAGGAGACTAATAGATATCTACACGTGAAACTATCAGCAACTCGTTCTTACCACAACGGCAAGTCATCTTGTTACACCCATCAGCCTTTGTAAACGATACGTGACACTTTGGACACTAGAAATAAATTGATCGATTACAAGAAATGTCAGTTAACAATATGTTTTGGACAATCTTTTAAACAACCGTTTTCTACTTACTGTTCTCTTCACAGCTTCTGCCATAGCTCTTTCGACATACAATCGCAAACTATCCTGTTCTTTCTCGTAGCACTTGTGATGAGGTCTACTCTCGCGATTACACAATAGACAAGATACCTTGCCACATTCTGGATTCAGACATCTGAATACGTTCCCTCTTCTCCGTCGTCTTATCTAAAATAACATAGTATTGCGTTTATTACGCCATACCACATACAATGTAGAGTAGAATTCTTTTTCACGCGCGCTTTACTTTGATACTCACCCTCTTTATAATACCATCGATATGCTGTAACACTGACCTCCCCGTATGCACCCCTATAAGCCCAAGTGCAATCTGGGTCGCAATAATAATTACAAAATTCAACAGACTCAACCCAATCACACCCAACAAAAAAAACACAAGCACCGAAGCAACAAGTACCAGAAATGGTCTTGAAATCCTTATTTGTCGCAGCGGATCGTCTTCGACCTCGGCATACTGACAGAACGGGCATTGTACGAGAGGAAGATTGCTCTGTTTTAGTGAATGTTCGATGAGCGATTCCGTATAGTGTTTGTATGTGCTTGGAAAGAGTGTTGCTCTCAACTGAGCGTCTCTGAAATATCCATTACAGTCACTTGCTTCGATGCACTTTATTCGTTTGCCTCTGAGCGACCCTTGTCCAAAGACACCTTCTTCTACTAATCGGTTTATACATTCTTTGCAAAACAAATGTCCCTCGCTACAAAATGTCAGCTCTTCAAAGGTACAATCTCCGTAACAACATCCGCAAGTTATTAATTGATTATTCTTGGAATATTCATCATGATTAAGTTCCTTTGCTATTTCATGGTCAGCAAGCGACTGCTTTTCTCTTTCTATCAAATTTAATCGTTCCAACTCGCCGTTTAACTCAGCATTGTCCGTCTCTTTATATGATTTCCGTTTAAATACGTTAAATAATGTCCACCATCCGTTTGTAGAGAGATCTTTAAGCTTATCATGGCTTCGTATATAGTCAAAGTTGTTCTCGGCCAAGACTGCTTTAATCGTTGATTTCCACATGTTGGGAAAGTCGTTATATAATTTACATCTCACCGCTTTAATGTAAGCATCTGATCTTATATATTCCCAGGACTCGATCTCAAAAGGTGTCAATCTGCGAGGATAACCCTTGGAGCTTTTCTCCAAAGCGATTAATTCTTCAGTCACTTGGTGTACGTGATTGTTATCGTAACTGTTGATCAAGTCTCGAATAAAGCTGACTTCACAGTCAGGAAATAGTTCATTTAGTTGATCGAGATAGGCATTCTTTGCTTCCGTAGATGTTGATGATGTACCGTTGTGCGGTATCTGAGGATAGAAACCGCAGTTTGCCGTAAATATTTTCTCACTTATGCGCTCTACATGGTTATCGTTGTAATGATCTATGCAATAGAGTAAGTATCGCTGATCTAAAAAAAGTGGCAATTGCGGATTAGAAAGGTTGACGCGGGGTAGTCGAATAATAAACTTGTGGTTTCGTCAACAGATTATTTTTTGCATACGCAATACGTCTCTCGATTAACGTTTAAATGAAAAAGGGGTGGGGGTGGGGGTTGTTTAACTTGAAGGTCAAAGAGAAGCATTCTTACAAAACAACAATATATGCGTCATTCTTCACTTGGGCCACTATATGCTATCGAAAATACACCCGACCGCGAGTTTCCATTACAACCAGCTTGACGATCCAAAGGGACACACGAGCCAAACAGCTACTCAGCTCTACACAGTACTCCCCGCAGCATTCTTGATTGCTTACCTGCATCGGGGAATAAGGCAATCAGTTGTTGGCAGATAACTTCATTCTGAGAGGTACAAGCCTCCTTCGACGACCCTTCCTTATTTCTTAATGACCCGAACAGTCCTACTTTAAACATATCTTTGCACAAATTATTCTACGGTAATGACTGATAACTTATTTTACAGAAATTTTCGAAACCACTTTCAAGAATGTTGTTTTTCTATGCTTCTCTTACTGCATCATCTTCCTTATTTGGTTTTGTATTTTGGCACAATAGGATAAATAAACAGTTACGTCACTAACATTGTTGGGGTTGTCGGCTCTTCCCCAAGAGAATTTCACTGCGGCACGAGCAAATTGGGATGAATGCCACAAAAGATCTTTCTTGTTACGCAGTCAAAAATGAGCAATCATGTGCTGTATGTATCCCAAGCACACGCTTGTGATCTATTTATGACCATGGCGGCTTTGAAAAAAGTATCCATTTTTTTCATATTGTTTAGGCTCACGGCAAAGTACATGTTTGTCCAATTGCCAGGTCACACGATCGCATTAGCGTGGGATTATTTTCACGATCATCAACTGTGTGGGAAATTGTCTTTACAATAAATTCTCATTTATATTTATTTAGATTTAGCAAAATATATTGTCTAATACAGAATTTTACACTATCGACTATTACTATATACTACAACCATTCTATTGTTCTACAGATTACCACGAGCTTCCTGATCTCTTTCTATGGCTTCAAACAGAGCCTAATGCGAACAATGAGATATTGTATTAATATGCGCTGATCCGAAACAATTTGCATTATATGGAAATACATTCAGAAAAGGCATACCTTGAAATTACCGGCACCGAATCCTTGATGGTTTTTTCGCTGAATAACCTCTACAAAGAATGTTGGGCGATCTTGCAATGGCTTGGTGAATATCTAAAAGTCCGTAATAATCGATTTATGAGTAATCGATCCTTTATGGTGACAAAACGCTTGTTGCGGACTCACCTGAAGCAAATACCCTTCATCATCGTAGTCAACTAGAATTTTTAATTTTTCCAATATTCCTATATCTTCCGTAACTTTAATACTCGCACTCTTTAACTTTTCCCTAAGATTTTCATAATAGCTCGAAGGCACATCCAAAAATTCAAGTCCTCTTGCTCGTAAATTAGTTATTGCCGTAACAATATTATCGGTTCGTAATGCAATATGTTGCACTCCGGCTCCACCATAATAATCAACATATTCTTGTATTTGAGATTTCTTACTACCGGAGGCAGGCTCGTTTACTGGCATTTTAATAAATTCGTTGTTGGATGCCATGACAACCGAGCGCAGAGAAGAATATTGTGTATGAATTTGTTTGTCGTCAACTGACCAAAAGCGATGGAAACCAAAGACCTTCTCATACCTAATTAGGCAATAGTATTGTTTTAGTCGGTTGTGTTTTCTTTGACGGGATAACTGCAGAAGTTGACTAAAAATACTTGCATTTCACAAACTTTTGCCATTTCGTCATCAGGCTGATTTCCAACGACATGATCCAAATACATTAGTCCCGCATTCGGCAAACTATCTTCCAGCGGATCTTTCCCTTTTATGACTTCGAATCCGGGTAAGAAAACACCCCTATATGCCTTTCTTTCTATGAAAGTATGTACTGTATCTCCGTATGTAGCTACAGTAGCCATGACGACCGTACCATCTCTATCTTTTTCTTCCCATGGCTCTTTGATTGGCGTAGCACCGCGATTGAGAGCTTGACGAAAAACGGCTCGGCAATTATCAACGGTAAATGCGACATCTCGAACACCGTCACCGTGAGTTACGAGATGAGGTCCGAGGACCTTATCATTGGGCGAAAGGGCTGATTGAAACACAAATGTTATTTTGCCCTGACGGACCACGTGAGATACGATGTCTCGATGGCCCGTCTCGAGCCCTCGATAGCATATGTGACGGAAACCCAATCGTGTTGTATAATACGAAGCAGCTACAATTATGGAGTAGAAATTGCGTCAATAAAGTTTATTTTATGCAGAGACACTTATCCTTAAAGTCATATATACCTTGTTTAGCATTTCCTACCCAGAAAATAACGTGATCTGTATACAGATAAAAGGTCGGTTAAAAACAAGAGTTCCACGCGTATGAAGAGATTAACACATTGTTGTTTGCTCTTTACCAAAGGATTCATATGTTCCTATCGCTTTTGTAGACATGGTTACTTATAAAAAATGTGGATGTTATCGATGTGTATATATATCAGAACAAGAACTGGGCCTCGAGTTCCCACGAATTTATCTATAAACTTCCTTATAAGGGATTGTGTAACAATTTTTATAATATCCGTTGTCGCACCATGACATAATATAACAAAAGTCAAATTGTATATAGAAACAATCTGGTATTGATTTTTACGATGATCAATTACTCCGCCCCTTAGCATCCCTGATATAAATGTTCATATATACATCATTTGATAAAATGGCCATTGTTTGTCTGCGGACTATCGTTTCTTCCATCAGCACAAGGATCACAAACTGGAGAGAATTGTCAGACCGATATGAACAGACTGGTTGCGATCATCAGAACTGGTTGTCTCAAACTTGAGGATTTTGCCCTGCTGAGAAATTTTCATTTTTAATTTGACCCTTCTTGGTTTCGTTAGAAAGAAAGGATATCTCACGCCTCGCGCCTCTCCGATACGGAACAATGAACATGTTATCTGGCGTTCCTTTGCATACGGAGATATATATTTAGCACGCATTCCATCTATACTCAAGAGGAATAAAAGCGAAATGTTCACACATGCCATTAAAATAGATCTTGAAAGGCAATCACATGCCAAAAATAGCGATCGTAAAAGGAATAAAAGAAATAATAACTTAACTAATCGAAATTTCGAAAGAAGACACATCTTTCGACAATATTTGCGTCAACAAACGTTATCTTTCAAAAATATGATATCAGTCGTACAAAAGGCTACGTTATTTCAATGTTCGGAATGAATCGCAATGTCTGTGGCAAACGAACAGTAACCAGCGACTGCTTATGTTAACGTTGTAATTGAAAGGATTAACTTTAATCATTATTTTCCCAATAATCCGAATGTGTAACCTGTGCAAAACCGAAAAAAGTAAAATTTGAAAGGGTTTTGATCCATCAACAAAAGGTGTTATTAATCGAAGAACTATTACTTGCCAATTTTGTGTTTGTATGACGACCTGGTAATCTCTCAGTGTAAGCTTTAAACATGCAAATGCACTACCGGTGTACCGGACCAGAATATTCTCACGCAGCCATCAATGCATTCACACTGAATGGTGCAAAATGTTAGGCGAAACGGTAATGCAGAAGAAGCTACTCATTTTTATGGTTGAAAGGACTTTTCCTACAGTGATTGGCGACTGCAGGTCTTGCACTACGAATATTGGTTGACATCAATGGGTAGAGATAACGTCCAAGGATTGAATTTAAGCAAACTATTCCGAAAGAGTACAGGACATTGTAAAGCTTACCCGACAGACAATTGTTGCTCTAGACTCTAGTCATGTCATGATCAGGATGCTACAAAGGGGTCTGTCTGATAAGTGACATTGTCGTCTAAACTTTGTACGGATATAAGTGCGACAACATCTTTAGAGCTATTAGTTCTAAGGGGGCTATCACAAAGGGGTTCGGAATATTGCTCTCTGCCGCGAACCGAATTCCTTAATTATTGGAGTTAACTTCAGTGTAACTTGGGTATGTGTGGGATGGTTTGTTCCTAGGCGTACGGAGAATTAATATTTAATATCACCCCTTCTGTCGTACCACTCGATTCTCTCACGATGCGCAGCAGAGTCATACAAGTAAATGAAAAAATGTTGTGAGCACAACGATTAACGATAACAACAATAGCATTGATTATGTATATCATTAAACCTACTTCATTCATATCACGTTCATGCTTTAGTTTAATCCATGAATCTGTGATCAGGAGGAGAATCAGCAGTAGTGCAAGTCTATCACAAAATGAGAAGCCTGTAGAGACAAAGGGTATGTTATATTTCGCAAGAATTTAGTCGCAATGTAACATCGATGAGACAATTGATTTGTGAGCATCGTTCGTAACTCGTTTGTTCCTTAGAGGTCGAGAAATCACTGCGACGGTTTTGGAAACAAGTTTCCATACAAGAGAACAAGGGTAAATAAATAGAATGCAATGTAGAATTAAGGGGTATTACAGCGTAAAAACTTGTTGTATTATAGCGATATCCAAAACGCGATTCCAACACACCATACTCTCGCAAACCAGACAATTACACCATAACCCTCGACAAACGCCCACTTAAAACACCCGACGGATCACTCCTGGTAATACCTAAAAACAGACGTGCTCTTGCGTATCTAGTAGCCGGAGAATGGGAGTCGCAGAACGCATTACTCAAGCATCATTCCTTGCCACTGACGTCTCTTGTTGCAAGAGCAACTGTTGTATTTGAGAAAGACTTGGACGAGAAGAAAAATGCTGTTGAGCGATTGTTGAAGTATTTGGATACTGACAGTATTTGGTGAGTATAGGGAGGAGAAATGATGAAGGTATTTGCGAATTGGATCAACAATCTGCTAAGATATATCGGCAGAATTACATATCGAGTGACAACAGAAGAAAGGGGGGGGGGGACGGTTTATAGAGAACGAGATCAGATGCGTGATTCATACATCTAATATCTCTCACACACTGTATCTCAATAGTTTCCGACACAGCTACCCACAAACACTTGTAGATCTACAACGCCAACACTGGGACCCACTAATCAATTGGATTCAATCCCACTATTCTGTCCGCATTAATACTACGGAAGGTATTTTCAGGCAGCTGCATCCATCCGAGACACGTGAAAGACTATCCAACATCGTTTCCAAATTTGATAGCTTGAAATTGTCTGCGTTCGAACGAACCACAATGCTATCCAAATCTTTTATAATCGGCCTTGGACTGGTCGAGAGACGTCTCAGCGTGGAAGAGGCTGTACAGGCAGCGCAGGTGGAAGTAAATGCACAGATAATGGCTTGGGGTGAGGTAGAAGATGGTGAGTACAGAGTGCAAAAATGATTTTTGGCAAGGAAAAGGTTGGCGTTAAATAATTGGGATGAAAGAAAAAATGGCGACACGGGTTTGATGTGAGAACAAATTATGAATATGTTTATTCACAGTCTTTTGTTTTTTTGATGTTCTATGTAGCTCACGATGTTGATCGAGAGGATATTAGAAGGCAATTTGGATCTGTTGTAGTTGCACTAATTAATGAGAACACTCAATAGACTTATTACCTTACAGTTGTATTGATTATCGAACGCTCATATAATTAAACATAGATGTCACCCAATATTTCAATCAATATACTGTACGGTCAGCATTCACAGTCCATCATGAATATAGTCTTCTCATTCTTAAATACATTGTCATCGATAGTTCGAGTATTATAAAGATCATGACTGATGTGTCGCCTGACCTGCCGCTTGACCTTCTGTCTGATCTTTTGCTTCAACTGTTGCCTCCTCCGCTGCCTCCTCCGCTGCCTCCCCCGTTGCCTCCCCCACTGCCTCCCCCGCTGCCTCCCCCGCTGCCTCCCCCGCTGCCTCCCCCGCTGCCCCAGCTACTGCCTGATATTCTTCCGGAAACAGCCATTCCATGGGAAATTTTAACCTTCGTCTCTCCGGTTTCAGATGTCTTGTATCGAGTGGAATGTCAGCAAAAGTATCTTCTGGATTCTAAATAGAAATATTGTTGCGATTGGCATGAGAAAATCGGACAATCTAGTATATCATATAAATAAAACATTCTCGTCTCTTGAACTCAAACACATCTATTATGCCCATCCTCTCTAGATACACAATATGAATCGAGGAAACTCTATTCTCTCAGGATCATCTCATCTCGGAGAATTCGCCTCTAACCTTTGCTTCCTCGATCAAGCGATTCAACAAATCGCTCAAATACTTCTTATTCTGCGCCAAGTACGGAAACCTTTCGCACGAAAACTTGATCTCTTTTGTCCGTGTGTCTACTCGCGGACCACATAACAGCAGTAACTTGTGTAGCTGAGCGTCAGTCAAGTTCAAATGACGAGCAAGTTTACGATAGTTTACAGTCATCACGGCTTTCTCCTGGAGAGGGCTGTGTTCGCCCACATAATAGGTTGATTTGAAACAGAGGAGTTGCGAAGATTGAGGGGGCACGAAGGGTGTTGCGTATTCTGTGTTGTTGTCAGGAGAGAAAACCGATGGTTAAACGTGACGATGAAAATGCAGGTAAAGAATCTTATAATCCATGTTGCTATCCATCATTAGCATAAGCAGTACGGTTAGAATAACACCACTCATACTATAAACTGTATTATTTAATGATTTACTGAAAGTTATGATTTCCAAGCTCAAACTTATCCCATCCATTCATCGTGCTCGCTCTCTTTCCCCGCTCACCAGTCAACTGCGGTATTTCAAACAGCATCTTTCTTAAATACTTCCGAACCTCCTTCTGTGCAGCCAACATCTCATGTGCAGGAGTGGTAATATCATCAAACTTAAACTCTGGCAGGTCATCAACATTGTATTCAGTTTCTTTGGCGACTCGTGTTCTCTTGCGAGCACTGGTCGGCGCAGTCGAAGAAAAGAGGCGGGGAGAATGAAGGCAAGAAGTGCGTCGGATTATGCAAAAGAGACGAGATTGAATGCGAAAAGAAGTCATTGGATTGATGTGACAAAATGAAGTGTTGTGTAAATCTCAAACTGTTGAATTGGCGGAAATTGAATGTTGGGAGAGGCGTTCACACGGCTTATAGGGTTGGATCGTAAAAGCACAGAACGCTAATTACTATCGTAGATACAAATACTACTGTTATCTTAACAATTGTGATTGCGAGTTTTTGATACTCGTTTCTTTTTATAATTAGCGATAAATCTGAAACTTTCTCTCACTATATACACAGTACTAATTTATTATACATTATTATTATGTGTATTCAAATATTTTTGATGAGATAATTTTCGCTCATAATTCACTGCCCATTATGTATATAATTCAACCAAGATTACGATTATTATTACTATTACAGTTCGAGAATGAATTATTTATTAAGTCTTCTGCTGTAATCATTGCATTTACTATTACTTTATCTAATAATAAGCTTTTTTTACTGTTCAAAGCTTTATTATAAGTCATCGCCTTGCGTTATCTGTTCATAATGCCATGTGTTTAGGTTTAGAATGGGAAAAGAGATGGAGCACTGCAAATTGTTATGCATTAAATCGAAAATTGTAGGACATTTAGTTTATTATTATCAAAATGGTTTCTACACAGATATTTCATTCGTTGCAATATGATCTCCGTAAGATTAGGCGTCCAAACGACAAATTAGTAATGTTGCTTGTCCAGTATTATTTTTACGACAATAATTTTTTCTAATCTCCCAATAATAGCGAGATCCAGCTTCAATCGGTAAGAGAAAAAATAGATTATATTACGAAATTTGT